GGATAGAGCATCGGCCTGTGAACTCAAGGGTCCCAGTCAAGGGCATGTACCTTGGTTTCTGGCACATCCCCAGTAGGGGGTGTGCAGGAGTCAGCTGATTGATGTTTCTCTCTCATCGGTGTTTCTAACTCTCTATCCATCTCCCCTCCTCTCTGTAAAAAATTAATAAAATATATTTAAAAAAATATATATCCTCGGGAGAGGATTAAAAATAAGTAAATAAAAAATAAATAAATAGAAAACCAAAGTGTTTTAAAGGTCATTTACGCAGAATACATAATATGCTTATATAGTTTAGCTGATCTTTTGAGCTTTGATATTAACACATTGCAGGCCAGTAGTTTTATTGCTAGCTTTACCCAGTGGCCAGATAGGCTTCTATTGAATGAGTACAAAAAACGTTTTATATAAATGTTAAAGGCACGCTTTAAAATTAAATACCCATTGCATTTTGAAGTTATTTATTACATGTTCTTACAAGCTAATATCTTTTTAAAGTACGATACTTTGTAAAACACTGTGTAATATGAAGCGAGAATTCTCATGATCTGTCCGCAATGTCTTAAAAGAACAAAAACCTGTATGAAAATCTGTGAATCTCTCTCTGAAGTCTGTAGTGTTAATTTTCTCACATAAAAGAAATAATTATTATTTGGGAACCATACTATTTTATTATTCAGCATTGTTTGGAATCAACAATTATTAAAGTAAAAGAGATAATTATAAGTATTTAAAAAAATGAAAGACTATTGGAATGCAAAGCACTTACTTCCTGAGTAGAAATTCTAGTTTGTTTTAATTAAAAGTCATGGCAAAAAAAGACGGGGGAGAGGTTTTTTTTGGTTCCACTCAAAGATATCATTGGTGTTTGTACCAGGAGGTTTCTCATCAAAGGGGAAGAGGCACGGTCAGGCCTCCCTGGGGGTCTCTGTTCAGTGCCACTGAAGGAATCATTGGCGATGTCCTAGAGCAGCGGTTCTCAACCTGTGGGTCGCGACCCCTTTGGGGGTCGAACGACCCTTTCACAGGGGTTGCCTAAGACCATCAGAAAACACATATATAATTACATATTGTTTTTGTGATTAATCACTATGCTTTAATTATGTTCAATTTGTAACAATGAAATTGGGGGTCACCACAACATGAGGAACTGTATTAAAGGGTCGCGACATTAGGAAGGTTGAGAACCACTGTCCTAGAGGCTAAAAACACAGTGAATGCAGACCAGTTAAAAGACAGAGATTGTCAGATTGGATAGAAATAAGTCTCAAACACATGTCCTAGAAACCCTACACAGACAGGTTAAATATAAAAGGATGGAAAAAAATACACCCTGAAAACACTAACCACACACTAACTGACCATATTAACATTAGAAAATATTAGAAAAGTAGGCTTTAAACAAGGAATATTGAGGAAGAGAGGCATCACATAATGGTAAAGGTCAGTTTTCCTGAAAGCCATAGCAACCTTAACTGTGAGTGCACCTACCAACAGAACTTCAAAGGACCTAAAGCAAAACATATAAAGCTGAAAGAAGAAATAGACAATCCACAATAATAGCTGATTTCAATGGGTAAACACGAATTCAGTAAGAATAGAAGACCTTAGCAACACTGTCATTCAGTGTGACCTAGTGGGTATTTATGGAACAGTCCACCCAATAACAGCAGAATACACTTTTTTTTCATGTCTACATTAGACATTTACCAAGATAAAAAAAAATTCTGGGCCATAAAATCAACCTTAATAAATTTAAGTAATTGATATGTAAAGTTCTCAGCATAGAGCAATTAAACTGAAAAATCAGTAACACAAAGAACTCTGGAAAATCCCCAAATATTTGGAAGTTAAGCAACATAGTACTATATCATAGTTCAAACAGAAATTAAAGGATTAAGTTATTCCCTTTTGAATTGAATGAAATATGCAAACTTCATTTAATTTTGAATCGAATGAAAATGAAAACATGATATATCAAAATTTGTGGAATGTAGGTAAAGCAGTGCTCAGAAATTTATAGCATTTTATACTTACATTACAACAGAAGAAAGGTCTAAATCAATGATTTAAGTTTCCATCTTAGGAAACTGGAAAATAAAAGGCAAATTAAACCAAAAGTCGGCAGAAGGAAGAAAATAATCAGTAAAATAGAAATCAGAAAAGCAATGGAAAAAACAATGAAATAAAAAGCTGATTCTTTGAAAAGATCAATACAATTGATACATCTGTAGCCAAATTAACCAAGTGAAAAGGAGAGGAGTAACAGATTACCAATATCAGAGATAAAAGGAGATTGTTATAGTCAATAAAAGGATAATAGGGAATATTATGAACAGATTTATGCCTCTACATTTAATAACTTAGGTAAAATAGAGAAATTCCTTGAAAAACACAAATCACCAAGCTCATTCAAAAAGAAATAGATAATCAGAATAGCCCTATCATAATAGAAGAAATTGAATTTATAGTTGAAAACTTTCCAACAATAAAAAAATTTCAGCCCCAGGTGGCTTCACTGGAGAATTCTGCCAAACATTTAAGGAAGAAATAACACCAAGGCTACACAAACTCTTTCTGAAAGTAGAAAAGGAGTGAATACTTCCAACTGAAGAGATCAACATTGCCTCAATGTCAACCCTATTATAAGAAAACTGCAGATCAATATTGCTCATGAATATAGATGCAAAAATCCTCAACAACATATTGTCATTCTCAGCTAATTATTTTCTAATATGCTTAATCCTTATTTTTTTAAAAAAGGGATTGTTTTGACAATGGCGCAAAGTACTAAAACCTTAACACTCAGGACACAACTAACCGTTGTTCTCATTCCTAAGAATCAGAAGCCATGACAGATTGCTGGTAACTAAGAGATGGAGGTGATGTTGTGAATCCATGGAAGGCAGAGTTCTGCTTGTTGTCTGGTGGTACATGGCAGAAAGTCTAATGCAAGCCTCCTTACCTTATTAAGAGGTACTCTCTCTGCTAGTAATTTTGGATTACTCACCTGACTATCCTGTTGCATTGTGACCTTGGGAGGCCGAGTCTTGGGTCAAGTTCACCTCCTTATTCACAAGGCCTGGCCTAACCAGTAAATGTTAAATGTGATCCATTGAATAGTGTGGTTGTAGAAGTTGGAAGGAATTTTGAACCAGTGAATATAGAGCCAGGGCTCCTCCACCTGCCTTGCTCAGAGCCAGGGCCCATCCTTGAACATGAGTGAGAGTTCAGGTACCGGCACAGCTGCAGCTGGGCTCCTGTCATCGAAGAAGCCAGTCAATCCTGAGGGCCACCACCTTCCCTTGGTTCTCTTGAGGCGACCATCAGCCCCCACGGGAAAAGGCGACACTGAAAAGCTTTCTCAGCCCAGTCGCAGAATGATTTATACTGGAGCCGGAGAGCATGGTGGGACAGGGGCTGTGAGGCAAGGAAGGAGGCTGGTGGAGGGTGAGTTCAGTTTTAGCTGTTATTTTTTAGATATAGTTCACCATCAAGTGTAATCGTCTATAAATAGCTGGACATAGAGAGCTGGAGAGAGGGAGGGTGTTGGCTGAGGGTGCAAATCTGGGCATCATTCTCTATAACTCCCCAGGGCCCCCCCATAACAGCCCAGACTGTTTTTGCTCTATTGGAGGTGAGGCCTGTATCCTAAATGAAATGGATTCGGTTTACTCACCTTTCCAGTGGAAATTCTGTAATTGTTCATATCCTCTCTGTGTTTTTACTGTCTGTTGAATCAATTAAGTTAATTTTACATGTTATTTCTTTCTTTCAGAAAAACTGTACAACTCCAGTGGGCGAGATTTAAGAAGGGCCCTTTTCTCCCTGAAGCAGATATTTCAGGTAAGAGAGGAAGAAAGTGCCCTTGGGTTCTGTTTTTGCGTTGCTATGGAATGAGATACAGACCAGGGTGTACCTTTTATTGATTACTGTCTGCCTCAGTGGTAACCTGTCTTGTCATTGCCCCCAGGGTGCACATCTCAGAAAAATTAAAACAGCTGTCTACAGACACTGCCTGCTTTTGGTCCTCCCCAGCTCCATCTCTTCTCCCGCTTCCCACCAGAGGGTTTGAGGGTGTCATTCTCTTGCTGGTTCCTCGTAGCCTCTGGATTACTTCTGGATTTCTCAGTATAACATCAAGGCCCTTCTGGATCTGTCTTCTGTTCACACCTTGCTGTCCTTGGCTGCATCCTAAGTTCCACCTGTGATTGCATTCTGGGAACCATCTGTGCCTTCTCTCTTCTGCACCTTTGCCCCTGGACCTACTGCTTTTATCCCAGAATGCATTGCGCCCCCCCCCCCCGCCCCCGCCCCCGCCAACCCAAATCTACTCTCTACGTCTCTCAGTTTCCTTCCTGGTATCTCCTTCTGTCAGAGAGCCTTTCCCCAAAGTAAATGACCCCTCACCACAGTCATGGGCCCTCCGAATACCCCTGATGTCCTCTGTGCTTACATCAAGTATGGAACTTAGATACTTCAGGTACTTGTGCGAGTCCAGTCATCTGGGAGCTCGTTGGGTTCCATCGCTGGGTCTCTGAGGCCTCGCACAGTGTCTGGTGCCACTTAACAATCGATGAATGGGCTGCGCAACCGGGATAGTCTAACAGATGTCTGTCTTCTGTCCTCTCTGTCTCTAATTTAGTCAGTGCTTCACTGACTAATTGTCCCAAAGCTCCACCTCCCACATATCCATCTGTGTATCCTTGTTCCTTAGATGAACAAAGCGAAACTTCTTCACCCTCCCTGACGTCCTCTCTCAAACTCAGATTCCTGACTGCGGGAGCTGGACTTCCACTGTGTCCCCAGAGGCCATACCCATGCCCCTCCTCACCCTGACTCATGCAGTCCCTCTGTCTGCCTGTGTTTCTGTTGTTCAGCTTTGACTTCTTTCAAAACCTGTGTTCCGCTTGTTGAGTATCCAGTTGATGGCAGAACCACACAGAGAAAAGCTATTCTAAGTGACTTTAAAATACTGTAATTTGTGCATCTGGAATCACACACACACACACAAAGGAACTGTTTTCATGTTTACAATAATCATGGTGGTGGTGGTAGTGTTGATATTGCTATTCTGAGACTGTGTGAGTGTATAGTTATCCCAATTTTGTCATTCTTAGAGTTCTTAGGGATTGGGATTCTTGGTGTGAGGTAGAAAGAAGATAGAAAGATAGAAGAGGTTAAGTTAAAAGCTCTGTATTCCTGAATTGGAAAAATCAGACTGAACTCATGTTGTATATTATTTTAACAATCAAACAAGCAAATAAGCATATTTCTAGCTCTGTTTATGGAAAAGGACTAGAAGCACTGATCAATCCATTAGCCAAAAGCACCCAAAGCAGCAAGACTGTGGTCTTAAAATATTGAAAAGAAGCAGAGCTCTTTGGAGAAATAGCTGATTCTAAGTCTAGAGAAGGAAATGGGTAAAATAAACTTGGAGCCTCTTATATGGATAGCAAGGAAGCTGTCAAATACTACTAGGACTATTGCCAAAAGAGTCTCCCACTGGTTGGCCAAAGATGGGACAATGTAAGCACCAATAAGGATGATAATTTCAATGAATTAAAACACATCAAGTGTTCGCATTGATGAGTTCATCATGATACTAGAAAAAAAAATAAACCTAATGGATTGCTCACCATTGGAAAATGCTTGCTTCCAGCTCATAATTTTGCAAATGGGTGAAGTTTTAGAATCTCATATTTACCTCTTCCTATGCGAACTTTAGGATAATCAAACAGTGGTTGAAGTCAAGTTTTATGTATAAAAATATTCTAGCTAAGAAGTAATAAGGAGTGATAGAATTAGAATACCCTGATTTTACAACTCCTAATGAATGAATGGATAGATAGGTCTTGAGCAGCCAGAGCTGCTGATGTGACAGCGATGAGAAACAACCGGATGCTATGCGTGTCGTCATGGAAACACTACCATCAATGATGTGGTCAAGCCAACAAAGTCAACCCTGGAGCTGATCATGCTCTATGTGCAATAACCAATGAATAAATGATCTAGGACCAAGGTGCTTGTTACACTACACCACAGGCGTGTAATCAACAAAACCCAGACTGTGGGCAAATGACCTACTTTCTTCAACACATAAATTTCAAGGGGAAAAAAAGAGAGACGAATTAAAAGACATTTAAAATTTATATCAACTAATTGCCACATGTGGATCTTATTTGGATCCTGACACAAATTGTAAGAAAACAGTATTTATGAGACAGAAATCTGGTCACTGACTGGACATTTGATAACATAAGAAAGCATTAATTTTTTTTATTATGAGTACATAATTTTAAAGAGTTCCTATTTTGGAGATACATATTGGAATACTTATGGATTAAATGATGTGATGTCTGGGATTTGCTTCAAATTAATATGACAGCAGACTGGGGTTGCGACAGAAGAAACAGGATTGGTATGACTTGATTGACACCAGGGGGTTTACTAAATTATTCTGTCTTATTTTGTATATGTTTAAAGTTTTCTATGGTGAAAAGTTAAAGAAAGTAAAACAAATATGTTTGGGGTCTTATTGCACATCCCCTCACCACACCTGTTCTGTAGTGTTGGCTCTGGATTCTTAGGGATGCTGTTTCTACTGTTTATTCATTAAACAAATATTTTTGAGCAGCCTTTGTCCACACCTCGTAGACAAGGGAGAAGGTGTTTGCCATCAGAGGTTTATAACCTGTCTGGAAGACCACCCACGTGCGCTCAAAATAGCTGTAAACCACAGAGCAAGGATGCCTTGGGGATTGAATAGGTTACACAGGTTGCAAGCTGTCTGGGACCTCGATCACTTCTCACACCCATGAGCCTGCCTCTCCATCATCCCTTGTGTTTTCTAGATGTGGAGGTTCTATATGGAATTAGGGGGCAAACAAGAACAGCAACAAAAACTTGAGCCATTGCCCATTTGGATTGCGTTGCATATTCCTTGACTAATAGGCATTAAAGAATGACCACAGGTTAATGCATGGCTCTTACAGAAAATTCTGAAATGCAGTGATAGTCACTTCTTCGTTAGTGTGAACATTTTGATTTTATTCTTGTTGTTTCAAGAACGACTTATTAGTGCCTATATATTTTAGGATATGTGTTTAAAATCTAGTACATTGCCGATTTGGAAGATATTCTCCACATTTATTATCTATACATTTTTAGTTCCTAAAGTGCCTTATCTACACATGTGCATGCATTTTACTTTGGGTTCTGAATTATTTTTATAAACACCATCTCCTCTGTCCAGTGTTTTTTCTAGGTACCTTTCCCAGACAGTCAACTCGATATTAATATTAGTGATTAGCTTGAGTGGTTTCTTGAGAGCTTGTTCTCACTTTTTCACCATGAAGTCATGTGTGAATCTAGTTTTAGTTAAAGTAATAAACATTTGTTACATGCTTGGAAAAACTTTCTGACTAGACATGAGCTCATCTAAATGTTCACTTTTCACATATGCTGGTGGAAAAGGATATGGATGGAGAGAGAATTATTTTTTATTTCCTTTATACATAGGAGTGTAAAGTAATTTTCCAAAAACTCATGATACTGTCCCATTTTCTCTTGCTTTCCAAAGCCATGATTATCTTAAAGTCTGAGCTAACACAGCTGTCTCTCATTACCTTCGGGGCACAAGCCTTGCTCCCCCTCCCCCGGTGCCCTCTGAACACTGAGAGCGCTTTCTTGGTTCAGAGGGAGCCCGTGCCTGGCCTGCCCACATTGAGCTCACGTCCTCCATCCATATAATTGGAAAATGCCGTAAAATCCAAATGAGGGGCTGATTTAACAGAGAGACTGGAGAATTGTGCCAGTTCGTCTCCATTATTTTTTCTTTTTTGGAGATCAACCAGGGTTGCTGACCATTCCTAGAAGAATAACCTTTCATTATTCCATTAAGCTTTCTACTATTTACATCACTGAGGGTTTTTAGTTTTGCTCTGTTGTTATAATTGAAGAAGAATGTTCCAGCCTTATCCTGGTTGTGTTTGAGACAAGGCACTGTCCGATTGAGGGAACCTCCCACAGCAGCAGCAGAATGATCCCTCTCCTACATTTCCATACGGTAGAGGTGGCTACTACAGGATAGAGTGCACTGGGGGAGGGCAGGGGAGGGCTGGTGGACATAGGTGACGTGGCCACTGTTTGTCACTCTTGAGTCTTTATCTGTAAAGAGAAGGTAGGATTAGATCAGTGGTTCTTGAACTGGCCGGCCTTTAGGATTTCCTGGGGAATTCAATAGCAAAGCTGGGCCTCACTTCCAGAAATTCTGGTTAAGTCCTCCGGGGAAGGGTCCTGCTTCCTCTTCCTTTTCAAAGCTCCCAGATGATCCTAAGTGGGCTGAGGCCCATCTGAGCACCTCCCAGTCACCTGGAGGGCACCTCCCAATCACGTGGAGGGCATGGTAGGCGCAGGTCCCTGGGCCCCACAGCAAACTTCCCTATCAAGTAAGTCAGGGGTGGAGTTGGGCGTTTGCATTTTTAACAAGTTCCCAGGTGACCCTCTTGCTCCCCATGGGTCTGGAGACCTCTCTTTGTGAACCACCGAGTCGATGACCCTGAGGTTCCTTGCCTGGCCTGCCTTCTGTGAGCAGGTCTGCAGGCCACCCACGGTGGCTCTTTTGAGGGGTGGCACGCTGCTCCAGATACATGCGGGGAACTGCGCTCTGCCTCCTGCTGGTCTGGCAAGCCCACAGCTCAGGAGATGGAGGGTCTGCTTCCTTACGTTATGGTACCATTTACAAGGCCTTAGGACTGTCCTGTGGAACACACAGGGGGTTTTGAACCCTTCACTTGATGGTCTGTGCTGCTTTGGATGTTCCCGCTGTTAAACCCAGCAAGCTTCATGTGGCCCGTGCCTAGGGACCTGTGAGGGTGCAGAGCCTGCCGGTTTTTGAAGAATGAGAAACAGAACACTATAAATATTCCTGACAGTCAGGGATTCGCTTGCTTTATCTTTATTAGATTGCCCAGAAGGCAATCCTTGGTCTTTGGCAAACAACAATGCGAAGACTGGTTGTAAAATTCCTCTGGCAACAGTTGAGATGCTTCATTTGAATAGAGCAGAACAATCTCAGGGGTCGGTCTGGCTTCAAAGGCCTGTGCATAGTTTTAACAGCACAGTCTGCATGGAGGATGGACCGGGACAGGATTTGAAGTCTTTTTTTTTCCTTCATGTGTCTTTTTAAAAAAATTTATCTTTATTGTTGAAAGTATTACAGATGTCCCCTTGGTTTTTGTTGTTGTTTTCTTCCCCCATTGACTCCCACCTCCCCACACTTGCCCCTACCAAGCCTTCACCACACTATTGTCTGTGTCCATGTGCTATGCATAGCCTATATAATAAAAGCCTAATATGCAAATCGACCAAACGGTGGAACGACAGGTCGCTATGACGCACACTGACCACCAGGGAGCAGATGCTCAATGCAAGAGCTGCCCCCAGCCCACAGGCCCCAGGCCAGCCAAGGCAGGTGCCAGTGGGGGCCCCCTGATCACCCTGCCAGTTGCCCCACAGATGGGCCCTGATCGCCGGCCAGGCCTAGGGACCCTACCCATGTACAAATTTTATGCACCGAGCCTCTAGTATGCATATAAGTTCCCCGGTTAATCTCACCCCCCGTCCCCTCAATCCCCCACCTTCACCTTCCCTCTGAAACTTGTCAGTCTGTTCCATGGTTCTATGTCTCTGGATCTATTTTGTTCATCAGTTATTTTTTTTCTCTACTCTCCTTCCAGGATGACAAGGATTTGGTGCATGAATTTGTGGTGGCTGAAGGTCTGACCTGTTTGATCAAGGTGGGAGCTGAGGCCGACCAGAACTATCAGAACTACATCCTGAGGGGTAAGTTCCCACAGGGCATGCAGCAGTCAGCCCCTGCTGCAAGGGAGGTCTGTGGGGTGGCGGGGGGGCGGGGGTCCTCCAGGAAGTTCAACACCCAGAACTTTTTAAAAGGCTTGGATTAGGAGTAAGATGATGAAACCACCTGGTGGCAAAAGATGAAACCTTCATCAAGTCTCATCAATTTTTAGGATTAGTGACTGAGCTAATTTTACTGACTTTCATATGAAGTCTTTTCTGGCTATTAAGAAAAAAGGATGTATGAGCTAGGTTCTTTATAATCTTTTATGGTGAAGAAGGGGGACATACTAAGTAGGCTTGGGCAAAGTCTGAATTTCTGCAGAAAGCTACCCAGATCCAAAGAGGCCCGTTTATTTCCTGGGAAAAGTATTTTCTCCAACTTGAGTTACCACCAGAGCATGTGTCAGAGTGCACATTCCTCACCGGGTAGGTCCTTCTGCTCCTGACTCGGTATGTCTGGGGTGCACCCAGGAATTTGCATTATAAGGAACGATTCTGATATCTACCTCCATGATTTCATTTTTATTTTTATTTATTTATTTTTATTTTTTAAATATTTTTATTGATTTTTTACAGAGAGGAAGGGAGAGAAACAGAGAGTTAGAAACATCGATGAGAGAGAAACATCGATCAGCTGCCTCCCGCACAACTCCCACCGGGGATGTGCCCGCAACCCAAGTACATGCCCTTGACTGGAACCGAACCCGGGACCCTTCAGTCCGCAGGCTGGCGCTCTATCCACTGAGCCAAACCGGTTTTGGCCATGATTTCATTTTTATAAAGCAATGCACATGTGGAGTTGGGAGTGCTGATTATTGTTCCAGCTCATAAAGTTAATGCTCTTTTCATAGTTACAGGGTTTTTTTTGATGCACCTTCATATAAATCCCAATTTTATTTGATCCTATAAGAAAACCTGTGAATGTTTTAAGGTAGGAATTACTAGGTTGGACCACATGAAATCACTGTTATCAATAGTTTTGACCTATAATAAGAGAAACTTAACATAGTTTAATATTATCTTAATTTTGCAGCTGAAAGATTTGAGATGCAAGGAGCTAATAAAATCAGTTTCTCTGGTGTGTGTTCACACCGGGGTCGTGCCCAGGCACAGGGGCACAGCAAGGTCAGTGCAGGCTTGGCTCCTCTTCTGCACATGTGTCCCTCTTCTGTGATCATATAAGGAAAAACCCTCCTTTCATTTCCCCCGGATGAAGGAAAAATACATGCAACGGGTGATTTAATATCGAGTGTCCATGGTTAGTAGGAGACAGGCAAAATGGAGCTGTCCGCCACAGTTCCGGTTGCGTCTTACCCTGAGACGTGTCCTGATGTTCTGTGCCGATACCCAGCACACTGAACCCTGAGTCCTCCCTTTTCCCTAATCCTGGAGAACCACTGTCACAAAAGGCAAAAGCAAAAGAGGAAACCTAGGGCTCATTACAAAAATATTAAGGACACATTTTCAAGTCAGTGTGAGTGGTTCCTATTCCTTTGATAAATGCCAAATGTGTGTGTGCGAGAGAGCCCCGCAGCCGCTGGCTTTTCTAGTTCATGGTGTTTGTGAGACGAAGGAGTTGTCTCATTTTGTTGAACTTCAGTTTTTTCCTGGGTATGTGATGGATCCTCATGACAAGTTGTCAGTAGACAGGCTCTATTTGGTGAGCTGAAGGATTTCTGTCCTCAATATAATGAAAACATTTATGTGGAAACTTTTGTGGGATATGTAGACAAATTAACCAGAACATTGTCCTGCACTGTTGCCTTCCAATGCAGCTGTCTTTCTGTGTCTGAGGAGACGGTGCAAGCCTCGATTCTCACCCTCATGTCCCATTCACACTGGTCCAACACCTCAAATAGGGGAAGACACAGAAATCCGGGTGGAGGAAGTTCTTCTAGTTTATTTTCCAGGTCACCTATAAATATGGATGTTCATAAATTGAAACACATGGAAGGAAATATACTTAACATGGCCTAATTCTGAATAGTGAGTCCAAATTGACAAATTTTTATGTTTAAAGTATGCATCATTTTAACTCTAAAAAAGAAGTCTTCTCTAGCCAATGCTTGTTTGAACATATGCACGCACACACCTCTATAGAACTAATATTAAAACCATCTATGTGTTGATCGTCATTATTCTAACCTTATCTAGGAATTTATATGTGCATTTTTAATGAATCATCATCAGTGTAAACAGCTACATTCAAGGCTGGGGATACGGGTAGGGCTCTGCCCGCTGTAGTCAGCCTCCTTTTATCAGGAAGGTAAAATTCTTGTCAGAAGCCCCCTGCAGACATCCTATGGATTAGAACTGGGTCACATGACCATTATAGCTGCAAGGGAGGCTGACAGAGTGAGTATAGTAAGTCCTCACTTAGCGTGTCTATAGTTTCTTGGAACTGTGGTCAAACCAATGAAACAAAACCAGTTTGACCATAGATAATTGATATAAACAAGCGTTAAGTTCCTATGGCATCTCATGAGAGTTATAACAAAATGATGTTGAATGAAACAGTGTTACTCAAGGACATGCTATATTTGATTTCCTGGACTCTAAGGGGTGGCAGCAAGAGAGAAAGGCATGTCTTTGGATCTGAGGGTTACCAGTGCCTGCCATGTAGAGGGAATTAGGAAGAAACAACTCATCCCGGCTGAGAAAGCCTGCCGGAGAGCAGCCATGTGATGGCCCGTTTGGAGGGAATGGGGGCCTCCCTGCTGCCGAGGGAATGGTAGGTTGTTTAGGGGGCAGAATAAGCTTAATGGCTACACAAGACCCCAAACCGTGTGTTGTGTGAATTGTTCTTCATGGCAATGAAAGATGGCATTGACGTAGAGTACCTCTGTCAGGCTCTCTACCTTAGGGAGTGCTTATCATTAAGCTCATGGTGGTTTATGACTTGGCAGTGTTCTGATCTGTACCAGAGGCAATTACAAATGTTTAAGAATCAGAAGGTCCGAGCACAACCAGGGAGAGCCCTGTCAACTGCCTGCTGCTCTCTGGCCCTGCAGAAAGTGCCACCGAGGTAAGACCCTCACTGCAGACAGCTCTTCCGCATGTGAGGGGTGCTCCACGTTTCCATTGCCAGCACCTGGGTCTGGCCTTTAGACTTGGCTTTCCCAGGAGCGTCCATGTATTGGAGGCAGAGGTTCCCATGTGTTACCTGGGACACGAGCATGTGCATCACACCCCTTCAGGTGACGACAAGGTGTCTGTTCCCAGGTGGGGAGGTGCGTTTGCATGGCTGCCTCACTTCAGCTAAGTCTTGGAAGACACGGGGTAACCAGGGTGCTGTGCAAACCTCAGCACATTTTGAAGTATTTGACTGAAACGCGTGCCAGGAAAGTACCTTCTGAGAGCTGTAAATGACAGATTTGGGGGTGTGACTTTGGTGTTTTCATACAAGGAAACTATCATTTTTCCTAGGCCACATGTTGAGTCACCCCTTCCTGACTTTGAACAACTTCTCATGGAGGCTTTTTGGGGCTGTGATCAGCGGCTGGCGGCCAGGAGACATTTGCGATCAAGGATGACCTTTACATCACCTCTTTATTTGTCCAACCGTTTTTAACTGTATCACCCTAGATGCAGATCAACAGAGAGAAACTAGAAAGAGTCTCAGTTTTGTAATTCACAGTCCTGGGGAGAACTCCGCATGCTACCTGGGGTCACACGGAGTCCTGGGTGGGGGGAGTCCTCAGGGGGCAGCACCTTTGTTGTGGTTTCCATGGGGAGGCGGAGGAAGCAGGTGTAGGAGTGGCCAGTGTGAAGGATTTCCGTGGGCCCTGGAATTTAGGGCTGTCCCTGGTTGTCTGTTACCTGGCCCTGGGTGATTCGGGTGGGAATGCCATGGCCTAGAGTGTGAGAGCCCACAGGGCAGGTGGTTGGGGGTGTGGACTTGAGCTGCTGGGCAAGGGGAGCTGACTGACCTCAGCCTGGTCAAGATGGCACTCCAGAACCCCTGATAGAACAGGAGCTGACTGACCTCAGCCTGGTCAAGATGGCACTCCAGAACCCCTGATAGAACAGCCTGGCCACTGTGGCTCAGTTGGTTGGAGCGTCCTCCTTTATACCAAAAGGTGGTGGGTTCTATTCATAGTCAGGGCACGTACCTAGGTTGCAGGTTTGATCCCCTGTCGGGGCGTGTGTGAGAGGCAACTGATTGATGTTCCTCCCTCCCTCTTTCCCTCTGTCCCTTCCTTTCTCTGAGATCAATGGAAAAACAAAAAACACATAGAGAAACACACAATGAGTGGTTGATTGTCCAGCGCCGTGCGAGTTCCTTCATGGAGTACCTTAGGAGCTCCACTTGGTGTGACCATGTGCAAGTCCCCAGATCCAAGGGAAACAAGCGCATTTGGAGAACCCACTGCTTTCCACATCTGCTTTTAGAACTCGTTTAATTTATCTTTATTTTTGCACTCGGCCCTCTGTCAGCTCCCCTTGTAAGGCCCAGGAATCTGTTGCTTTTAGTAGAGGATGCATCTGCTGAGAAGTAAAGATAGGTTTTGAGTTACGGTGTAGCCAAGTGCTCTCCAAAAAATGTGAGCCGGCTGCTGGGAATAGGTCTTAAATGTACAACATGTAGAAATAATATTTATCTGGCTTATTATTCTTGGATGTTATAGCTAATGATCTAAAGGTTGTTGTTTTTTTCAATAACCAGTATTTAATATAAATCTGTGGAATTTGTACCTCACAATTATTCTTATTGCAGTAAGACCTAGAGTGGTATCTTCTTGGGAACTTAAACTTTCCACACACATGCTGAGCCTTCAGCTGTGGGCTATGCTGGCCCTGGGCTGTGACAGTGTAACTGAGACACAGCCCTGCCCCAGAGAAGCTCCTGGGAGGGGCTGGGCATGGCCGTTCTGTGTGTTTTATGGCATTTGTCTTCTGTTTAGGAAATGCACATAGGTGATATGCTTTGGGGAAGAAGAGAGAAGCAGACACAGAGAATTAGTCTGACCAGCCACCTTTCC